CGTTCTGTGATTCTGTGATTCTGTGATCTAGAGAACACACCGCTGCAGGAGGAGAAAATGTGTAACTAAGCAGGTCTTTTAAGGAAACAAAGTTGAACAAAAACAAAGCAAGGCTTCTCTGCATTTGATTCAAGAAGCACTTCCTTGCCACAGGTTCTTTTCAGGTGCATTATTAATGACAAATAAAGCAAGGCAGGACGTAGCAGTAGTGAGATGGATCTGAAGCACGTGAAAGTATGCGAACAGAGCAACGGTGTTCTCAGGCTGCAGCAAAACCCAGCAAGATCAGAAAATGGTCTGCAGTCTGATACTGAGGCTTGAAAAGACTACTGCCAAATGAAATCACATATTTGTAATCATTCTTTAATGACAACTTTCAATAATAAAACACTGGTGTTTGACAACATCTGCCACTTTGGGACTGGGGCACGAGGGCTTACTGCTGGGTTCCTCAGCAAGCACGGGATACAGGAGCAGCTTTTTGGAGCACCTCATCTGTCCTTTAGCACCCAAACGAACAACAAAATAGAAGAAAGGCTCTGATATAAATCCTATATTAATGGAATATGATTAAGAGGACAACTTCACCAGAGCTTTTTTTTTTAATGACTCTGTGAGCACAGATGTATTTTTTCTCTTCCAACAGCCGCTCCCCTCCACCCAAGCCCTCAGATATTTCCAAGCTACTGCCAAAAAAGGGTGGAAACACAAAGTCAACAACTTCTTTGAAGTGTCAGGATTTGAATTTTTTTGCTGTTATTTCCGCCTCCATCCCAATAATCAAGTGAATTGGTCTACCACACTTCTAAGCATTGGGCTGTGCCAGGGAACTTCTCCACTTCAAGTGGTTTTTCCAGCAGCTTCTTTCCTGTTGCTTGAGGGACTCAAGTTTATAGGAGGTTTGTATTAAGATTAATGAGGGAAAAAAGGTATGCATGCATATACCATGGCAAGAAAAAAGAAACAAGCAGCATACGACCTCTGGAACAATCACAAAATCCCTGTCAGGGACTGAGGGGGTTGGGGAATGGCTTCAGGTTCTGAAAATAGAGCACCAGGAAGCACACACAGGGAGATTTAGGGAAAACAAAGCGATGTGCAGAGCTGGGCGCACGTAGTACACTCAGCTTTCAGAAGCAACAAAGTATGCAAACCTCTTGCAATAGTTATTCACCACAAGAGAATGGCTCTTTCAAGATCACTGTGCTCTGCAGCTTGCAAAGAAGCCACCAAGCCGTCAGCAGAGGTCTACTGAATTCATCAAACAAATCACAGGGTTTTATAGACTCTTAAAAGTACTGCAGCACAGAGTTGTATTTTTTATTATTAAAATATCTTCACTATTTCTGAAAAGTAAATCAGCCTGTGGGTTTATTCAACTGAAAAAAAAGAGGTTTTTTAATCAACCTTCTAGAAATGCACCGAGGTATAAAAATGCTACAAAGACGTGTTCTTTCCAGCTGTTGGCTAAGAGACGTACAAGAAAGCCAAGCACCAGACTTGCCCTTCTACAGTATCGTAATTCTGCAAGAACTGTCTTGACCATCTCTGCAATACTGTTGTATTTCCCCAAGCAACACCATCTTGTTTGGGAAATGCAATGAGAACTCACAAACATAAAGCGATTTTAAAATGTACAGATCCTTTCACTTTGTATAGGAAATTATGAGGTATGAGGGGTTTTTTAAAACAAAAATTAATATTCACATCAATGAGGCACCCAAAAGCAATAATTATTACATAAATTCAAATAGATTTGCTTACAGTTCCAAGGAATATTATTAAAAATCTCATTCTGGTAGACATTTTGCTGCATGTTCTCAGCGCATACTCCCAGAAACCAATTCCTTAATGAAATACAGTCAAACAACTGGCCATTGCTTCAAAACAAAACCTCCTTATATTAAAGTTGCAAACATATTTTAAAATAAAAGAATATTAGAAAATGTATTATAAACAACCTTATTATGCTTATGTTTCAGAAATTATTTAAAAGTCAATCCCCTTTTTCTTTTTCCTTCACAGAGGCACATATCAACATTTGAATACCAACAATAAGAGCCAGTCATTAAAAAACATCTGCTGGCACCTTAGCAGGTCCCTGCATGCACCTTTGTCTTCTCATTTCACCAGAACACCTCTACTCACTGCCATACATAAGCAGTAGAGTCATTGGTGTTTGCTTTACAATGGATTTTGTTGTATCTTAACCAGCCTATCCATATTTTATCAACTGCACAGAGAACAACAGACCCTTATAGGAAGCTCAATAGGTTTATTTATGACATGGCTGCTTCTATTTGGGATAAACCTGCTAGGGAAATACAATGTTTGTTTGATTTCTAACTCTGCTGGGAAGTAAAACGGGAAGATCCTGTGCAGAGTGAAATAACCCATAGAGCTTTCATGGTAGCACGCATGTGAAAAGTGATGGTCGTTTGCAGAAGAGACATCTCAGATGTGTCCAAGAGAGCAGAGGGATGGCTGGCATCCATTCTTTGAAAAATGTGGATTTTCAAATATGCTGTGGTATCGATACTTTGCTGCAAGATGCTGCTGGCCTATGATCTGCTCTTAGCCAAGGAAGGAAAGACAAGGAAGCAGCAGAGAGGTAAAATTTGGGATCGAGTATTTTTTTTCCTTTTTGGCAATGGCAATCTTTTAATTTCTTTCTACATTTCTTACTAAAATTGACACAGTGAAGTTAAGCTACCATGACTTTATGCTACAGTAATTTGATTTACTGCTATTTATTCTTTTTAAAACTCTTCAGATTTGTACTTCCCGAAAACAAATAATTTCATGAACGAATGAAAAAAATACCTTCCTCATTCTCTCAGACACTTTGATATCAACCAATCACCATCCAAAACTCCTAATTAGGATACAAAAGCAAGCAAAATTGCTGAGCCACAGGTAGACAGCAAAAGCTCACAAGCCAAGCATATATATATAGAGCAGCGGCTTCGTGGGAGGCCCAATGAGGTAACCGGAGCAGCTCCTCTGGTTAACGCAGAAGTGCATAAATTCTGCCTGGGGAGCCTAATCTCCAGACAAGCACAGGCAAGGCTAAAAAGGCCTTCTTTAAAGCACTACTGATGCACAGCAAAATCTGAAATACTAACTTCATTTTCCTGGGAACCTGGGCTCTCCCAGAACCTGCAGAAATTAAAAGCCCCATCCCACAGATTCCCAGGCTGCAGCAGTTCTTTTTTTATTTTTTATTTTTTTAATTTTGAATGCCAATTCTGTGCTCTGACTCTTTGAAAAAAAGCATTTCCTGCTCTGCAGGGCAACAGCCTTTCTGCACAAACCAGAGCCCTGTTGGGTGTGGGAAGCCTGCGGCGTCGCCTTGCTTCAGGGGACACATTTACCAGGAAGAACCGCAGGGCTGCACCTTTCATCAGCCATCAGATGTGACTCTGCCGCTGACAGCCTGCCCAGCTCCGGCACCGCATGGCGAAAAAGCAAGCAAACCAATTTTCTTGTATAACTGATAAAAACCTTCCCGACGTTTCAGCTGGCAAATCCACACACTTCAAATCGATACAGCAATGATTCACTGCCATTAAAAACACAGTTTTTTGCCCAACTTCCCAGAATGAATTAATCTTATTATGGAGTCCTAGCAACTCTTTATTTACTTCTTAAAATTTTTTGGAAGCTTCTAGATGAATTTGGTCCCCTTAACAGTGGAAGATTGAAGTCATTGCCATATACTATGTAACAACACTGTTATTCATGACCTGAAATCCAATCTCAGATTTTTCTTCAGGCCTTGCCCATGTCAACATCTGCCTTTACTTTCTTTCTGTCTACAATCTTTCTAAACTATCGGCAAAGCTGGTCAACAATTCTTCAATGCTGTGGGATTCAGACCTGAAACGAACAGGATTAGAGACTGCACAGTTGCTCTCATCATAGCTGTGCCAGTGTTGACCATTTCCAGAAAAACATACTACTGTAAACACCAGGCACAAATTGTAAGACACAAGGTAACGGTAACACAAAAATAACAACATAGGCAAAAGGCAAAATGTAGGAAGTGTGTTTGGAGTTAATTCGGTTCCTACCACTTCTTTGACTAAAGACTGGAGAATCTGAAATCAGGAATTACTAACTAGACCTACTAAGATGGGAACAATGATGGGGTAATGAAAATATTTCCGGAAGGCAGAGTTCAAGAATGCAAACACACCTTACCTGCACAAGCTGCAGAAGATAATGAAGAACATCATCATCTTCTAAACTTTCCAGTTTTTGAACTGCCATCGCTCGGACATTTTCATCCGAAAAGTTACAGTCCAGAAGTTGCATTGTGAGTCCAACATCTAAAGTGCTTTGATCCCAAACCTCCTTTTTAGCTAGCAATTGGTATGTTTTGGCCACTATTTCTTGTTGGCCCCATTTCACAGAACTAAGCAGCTTAGGATACGCCTTGGGGTGCTTTATGCTTTCGTATCTAAAGTGCCACAACAGCTCTTTGTCCTCAGGAGAAAGTGGATTAAGTGGGTCAGTTGCTATGATCTCTTCCAGTTGCTTGCGAAGCTGGTTGGGCATTTCAGCTCGCGTCCTGTCTCCTTGGGGGTCTGACGTTATCCTGTGCTTGGGCAAGGCAATTGGGTGACAGTATTTGTCCAGCACAATAGAGATAGCCATGGAGTTTTCTTTATCCGGATTAGTTGCTGATGTGAGTTTGTCTGCGTTGATACTTCCCTGTTCTTCTCCCTTGCCTGGAATTTTCCACATGTGGAGCACGTACTCCCCACTTCGTAGCAGGAAACGGTGATCTATCAACAAAAGATTTACATAATAGAGAAGCTGAGTTTTGCATTTTGAATCAGAGCTGGGGGACTCAAGTGACTGAAGGTTTGTCTTTGTGGACAGTCCCTGTGCTTTGCCACAGTATATTTGAAGATTCAGAAGCGCTCCTTTAGGCAAATCCTTGATTTTGATATCAAACTCCAACCAAATATTCCACAGCACCTCCTCAGTAAAAGGCTTTGATGAAGTCCTCCTCTGTGACAGGAGCTGTTGCCCGTGTTGAATGTTAGCCTCAACAAACACGGTAAGATCAGTATTTCTTGGTAAAACTGGGATATCGATACCAATTATTTTCACCCTAAATTTCCTATTACAGTCCCACAGAGAGATAGTGAAGACTCTCTCGTGATCTTTTCCATCTATTGTCAACTGTTCATGATACCCTGTAACTCCTGTACAGTCATCCACCAAGGGCCACTCTTCCTTCTGAACCTCATCCTCGCTCGGGTCAGGGGGATTGTCTAAGACAAGGTGGATTTCTTCTCCATTCTTAAGGCACTGTCGTATCCAGTGAAAATCCTTAATTGGTGTCTCTCCAGTAATGTACTCATCTCTGCCACAGATCCGGAGAACAAAATCCAGTTCACTGTGATCTTCAGGAATGTCCATCAAAGACTTTTTCTTTGCCATTTTTGTGAAAAAGCTGTGGAGAATCATATCTGGAGTGTCATCTATTGACACTTTAATTTTTTGGCTAGTTGTTCCTCTATGTATGATTATAAAAATGTTATTATTAGTGATCTTTTTAAATAAATACTCTGGGAGTGGCTTAGATGTAGTCCATGGGTGCATTGCATACAATTTAGGATCTCTACAGGCTACCTCTATCATTCGTGGAGTGACCAACCTGCGACGGGTAAACTCTAGCTCATCATCGTGCACGTTGCTCACATCAGTGACATCGTAACCAATTAAGTCATTAAGCTGCCGCTGAAATTCCTGAACTTCTTCTGATGGTTTTTGTTTCTGGACAACGTAGATCTTGCCTACCTTCTTCTGTAACACTTTCCAGTACAGTATGCAGTCTAATGTCTGTAATACTTGATGTTTATCATAAATTTCATACCACTGCCCCTTCTTCTGATACTGCAGAATGAACTGATCCGGGGTGAATGCATGGTAGAAATCTGTGGTTTGACTCATTTCTATTGCACGCATCCAAATCTGTGCCTTCATTTGCTCAACTGTACAGTTGCCAGCTATTTCTAGTAACATCATTTCCGGTACTTTAGTATGTTTATTGCTTGTAGGTAAAATGAACTCAATGGATATCAGTTCCATTGATGACAAATTACTCGATGTACAATGAGGTTTCATTCTTCTTCTCCTCCGTTTGTTTTCCTCTCTCATAACAACGGGCTGTTCATAATCCCCCAGCTCCATGCCAGAAGAAATCTAGCAAAACATATAAATACTTGATTACTTTCTCATTTACATTTTTCTTTACTCTTATTTTTTAACTCTTCTTAATCAAAGTCACAGGCCAGTGAGACTCCTGCTACGTATATGCTTTATATATTTCCACTTAATTTCTGGTCATAATTACTTGATTTACATAAACCACCTCAGATGTAATCTATTCAATTCAATACCAAATATAAAAAAACCCAAACACCCCAATGATTAAACAATTAAAATAGAGCTTTTAAACCCTCTCCAGATTTCACCAAGGATATGCAGTCTGACTATATATTTCCTCCACACTGATCTGTTTTTGCTTCCATTTGATCAAGCCATGGTTCTTCTGCTGCCTCATCTGTTTTGATGCTGCTGATACTACCATAAGTGGATTTTCATAGAAATCAAAAGACACGCTTCTGTGTATGAGCTGAACAAGATCCCACTGAGCTCCAGGAATGACAGAAAGTAACAAACAAGCAAGAAAGTAACAAAGCCAACAAGTAATGAGGCTGGACAGAGGTGAGCCTATTCCCATTTTGCTCTTTCTCTCTTTTCTGTGAGGAGGAATAAGGACTTACAGCAAAAAAAGCCCTTAGGATTCAAAAGTCTGGAACTACTCCTGAAGACAGATATTTAATGTGCATCTAAATTCAAGCCTAGTATCCTTAGATGAGGATCATCATCAATTCACCAGACTGATAACAGCCATCCATTTGAAAAGTAGACACTCCCAGTATAAACTATTAGTTTGTTACAAAAGGAAACACTCCCAAGTTGATGCTGATTTACTACCCTATGCATCAAATCACTCCTAAAACACCTGCAAAGCAACTTCGAACATGAGCAGCCTACCTTATCAGCTTTCAGTAAACAAAAAACGTCATTGCTCACAATTAATTTCCACTGAACAAAATTAAAGTGAAAATTATTCACCTGGGAAGGCAGTGCTGACTGGCTGTGCTCACACAACACACCTGTTGAGCTTCTTTTGCTAAGTTCAAGTTACCACGATGTACTGAACATCTTTTGCAGACAACGCTTTTTACACATAAAATCTTTCTCTAACTGCTGGAAAAACTAAAACCGATGTAACCATCCCTGAGCAGCTAACAAAAGAAGAAGATAAAAATATAAAAGGTTAAACTGAAACAACATAGCATGCGAACTAAAATTCTCTTTGCAAGATCCGGAAAGCAGTGACTGTGGACACACCACCTCTACAATTGACAAAGCACAAGGAAATATTACCTGCTTATAAAATAAAGGCTGATTTGCTGAAGACGACTCATTTGTTTAATTTCTGAAGTTCCTATTTTTTAAAGGAAGATCATTCACATAAAAAAAATCCTTTGTTTAAGCTGTTCTGCTTTTCTTGCTCGCCCTCATATCCAGATGCAAAGGAAGTGCTGCACTTACCAGGAAGGAAGTTTTAACCAAGTTGATTATACACACGATTGCTCATTTTAAAAAAAGTCAGAATGCTTTTCCTGTTACAACAGTAAAAATACACTAACAGCACACCAATTTAATTTTAACATACATCCATAGAAGACATGCTTAAAGCTTTTTAAGAATAGCTAGGAGTAATCCAAGCAATAAATCTAATGAATCCAAACAAAACATTTTAAAACCAATGTAATATAGAGAGCCTAACTACTTCTTTAAAGAGTTAAATAAAAATACTAGATAAAAGACAACTAAGTCTGCAATGTTTCCTTATTTTTATTTTCATGGTGATAGCCCTTTGAGGAAGTCTACCCAACTTAAATTCTTTAGTTTTTTAAGCCATTCTCTGTACAGGCATCACATGGAGATGGTATCTGCCAAGGATGATAGACTGTTTTGGGCTGGAAGGGACCTTTAAAGCTCATGCAGTCCAATCCTCCTGCAGTGAGCAGGGACAATGTTACCAGAGCAGGTTGCTCAGAGCCCCATCAGGCCTGACCTTGAACATCTCCAGGGATGAGGCCTCCACCACCTCTCTGGGCAACCTGCTCTGTGAGCTACCACCCTCATTGTAAAAAACTTCCTCCTTGCATGGAGGAGTTTGGCACTGCTGGGCAATCTTCCTCCTACTGTTTTAACTCTTCCATTTATGATTACAAACACACAGCGAAATCCACTAGAAATGATGACTTAAGATTCAGAAAGAATTTAAACCATGAACTTTCAACTCTATTTCTTGTGGTTAACTACAACCTAGAGAGCTGTTCCTTTACTAAAAAAATCCCCACAGGAAAAGATTTGGGAAGACATATACAAATCAGAAAAAAAGACAGAGAAACCTCTAATCTTATTTTTTTTCCTTATGACTTTTCCAGTGAAATACTGACCATTTTGAATAGCAATAGGCAGTACACATCCTATAGCAGCACATATCCTACAAAATGATGACTCTTGAGAAGGAGAAAAAATATGAAACAACTGAAAGGACTTTTAGCAACAGTGAAGTGGTGGTGTTCTTTTTTTTTAATTTAAACATATGCACACTTCCTATCTTGTAAGACACTTTCCTTACTAAAAAAGGGAAAAAAACGCACCCTGTTTAGGCAAAAAAAAAATCTGATAGTCTCTTACCTGCCTTCCAATAGGCCACTCACAACCTCTGATATTAACACCTCTCCAAGGTTAAAAAAAAATAAATAAGCTCCACCGTAGACATAGCTTTCTTTCTCAGAGCACCATTTTGCTTAGCAGCTAAGACGGATTTCTTTTTAGAGGTTACTTTTCTCAGGAAGTGAGTTTGAAGAAAATACACTCCATCTTAGCTCCCTCTAGCTTTTAGAGGCAGTATTTGACATTTCTTAAGAAAGTGGTGAAGTTGCCCTCAACATTTTGTGACTTTCCATGAAATCTACCCACCTTGGCCAAGCCATCTCAACCATTACGGCCTCTGCAGCTGAATGTCAGTACTCATCGGCCACAGTCTCTGTGGCATCTCAGCACTACACACAGCTTTCCTCTCTGGTCCTCCTCTTGGCTGAAAAAGCACTTAGATCCTGGAAAACTCGAGCACCTGTAACCTCAACAGCAGTGCCCAGGATGACGGAGAAGGAAGCAGCTGGTTTCACATAAAAAGGAAAAGGAACTGGAGGTGAAGGGGGTAAAAAGGGGCAATGCTGAAGAAGAAAATGTGCTTTGCAAAACCTATGCTTTGAAATTCCCTGACTTTGGAGAGCTTGACTTTGTAATGCTTTTGCAGAATCTCTATTTTGAAGTGTAATTTCTAAAACATGTAATAAAGTTGCATATTTTTTGTCATTTAAACATAAGCAACTAGCAGTGAGGGGGTTTTTTCATGCCAACAGGCTACATATGTTTTTTGCAAATATCGTTCATCCTAAAAGTTGCTGTGCTGACCTTAACTAAACCTGGACTCATCACAGTTTCATTGGGTTTTGCCAGATCTAAGAAAGCCTGTCAGTTTAAAATGTCCTCATCTTGCTACCAAGTGATATGCATGTAAAAAATTGATTTTTCAAACACATAACCATACAAATATTCCACCTCCTGCTAAGCTATTCTAGTACTACTCCAGTGATCAAGACTATCAAGAGAATCAAAAGCAGCATCTCTACCTCATGCGGCAGAGAACTACCCTGTACACTGCTCAGCAAATCCAATTGTTTGACACTTTCATCCACTTAAAAAGACTGGTAGAGCAACATTGTGAAAGGTTCAAATCTTCTCCCACAAACTGCATCAGATGCAATGCAAAATGTGTGACATTTGTATAACTGCCCATACGAGACTGTCCCTCTTCCCACATTCATTTGGGCTGTGACCTGCCATGTCTACTCCAGTCCGAATCTCTATCTCTGACCCCTTTTCATCAGCTTCAGAAGCCAGTTCTTGGAGTGATGACTGTCTCTGATTTGTCTCTGCAATGACAGACATGAAAGTGTCCCCATTCTTAGGGCGACATCAAGTTGTATCTATTTCCTGCTAATTCATGTGTAGGCATGGCAAAACCATATTTCCTCATGCACGTACATCAGAAAACTTGGATGTTTATAACTGAGAATAATTTAAAATAACTTCCTGAAACCTTTGTCATGCCTACGCATTGCTTACAGTATTGACATTTCTGTATGCCTACTGCAACAACATCACGAAAAAATCAAACGTCATTCTTTTTTATTACTAATTCTAATTTAATTTAGTCCTGTATTAGAAGATCTGTCCTACCACTAGTCCACAAATCCTGATGGGTGCAATGGAGCAGGAAGAGGTGGGCCCGTAAAAGCTAACTAGGAAAAGCAAACAGGCTCTCCTTTGTCTTCAGTTGTGTTCCTGTCTCATCACTCAGGTCAGCAAACCGAGCATAACAACAACAACAACAACAACATTTGGTTCATTTTCAGCTGGACCTGTTCCTTAATCTGACTCATCACCTGCAGGAGTGGTAGGGAAGGGAAGAAAAGGGAAAGGAATGAAGCCAGTGCAGTTTAGGATAACTGAGACTGAAACATAATTCACAGCAGGATTAAGAGATAAATTCATGGGTAGAATTGTTAAAGGATTTGAGAACACTGGTTGAAAGGTGCTTTAAAAAGACAACGTGATATTATCATTAATTACTTCATATATTCTGCCACAAAAAATTCAAGGTATCTGTCAATTGCCACTACTTTGCTAGTTTTACTAGTTACTTATTCTTCGCCTGTTATTCTTGTGCTTATTCTATACTAGTTTCTGCTTCTGGTTTAATCCACCATGTGAAAACCTTATTTTTAAATTATTCTTTTCACTTTAGTGTCAGGTCCTTCCCAGAAAACATTACCTGCAAGAAAACAGGCACTCTCTATCAGAATATGAATCACCTCATGCACACATTATGCAAATATAATAATAATCTATTTACATTCATACTTTAAATAAATGAAAAAAATCTATAATATGATCCAAAGTTTTCCAAGCAGCACACCACGTCTACTTGCCAGCACTGTCGTGTAGCAGGAGACCCCTTCACATTTGCTGGA